TAGGGTTATAGCCGATATGAATAAAGCATAGCAGAAACTCGTATGTTTACGAAAAATCGTGGGTTATTGGCCAATTTATGTATAGATTTTCACCTTTTTAATGCTGCATTCCACTTTCCTTAAAAAGAAGATTTTACTTTATCTTATCGATTATGGAAATTCATATTCCGCCAATGTACATATACACCTTTAACGTTTCCTTTTTAAAACTTGCACAAAATTCAGTGCATCTGTTTCAGAATTTGGCGTCCCGGAGATTGTACGTATATTCAACGAAATCTTTTAAATTAACGGAAAATTTTAAATCAGAATGAATGAATGAAAATTTTATAAATATGTGTCCGACTGCACGAAATAAATTTCACTTGAATTTCATCAATCAATCTGATTTTAATTTTATCCTCTTTGATCATGTAAATTTAAACTTTTTATCGAAATAAACTAATAACCTTAAGTAATTAATAATGCTACATCGATGTCAAGATGTAGAATCATTCTTAGTTATAGTTTCAAAATTGGATTGCTGTTAACCTGTACTTATTTTACCAAAATTATAATGCTTTCAAATAAATGTTCTCACATTAATTAAAGTCAACAACCCCTCACTTTTTGAAACGTGGCGGTTAAATTCATGCATAGTGCTAGAAGAGTCACACATTACCAGTAAAGTAATTCCCACTTTTTGTGCCACCTTCTTTATGTCACCTTAGAATGTTATAAAATCGCATCAAAGGTTATCATAAAAATTTTTAGTTCTCTTCGACGCTCAAAATGTTAACACTTCAAGATCTCATTGTGCCAATTCCTGAATATTTGTCTACATTATTTAAGGCTAACAAGAATAACACGTATTCTTATTTGGATAAATATAAAGTATTTAAAAAAATCGTAGAGTACAACTTACGTGAACGTGGCCTTCTTCCGAATAGCAGTAAGGAATTTTGCAAAATAACTCGACATCTTTGGGACAGAAGAGACAATAACTTCAAGAAGTTTATCGAAAGATATACTAAAAAGGTGAATTTTTGCCGCAGAAAAAGTTTACCTCTTAATGTTAAATCTTTCGAGCCAAAAAATATGGAAGACTCAAGAAAAGTCACATCAACTGACATCGCTTCAGTCAACACTACCATCCAGGTTTCGAATTTTTTTAATGGATTTCCATCAACTTCGGATGAACGAATTGTATTTACACGAGATTTCGACATGATTGGGGGTAATAAAGATATGGTTAGCAATGTTATTCAATTTACTATAGGCGAACAAGCCATAAATAACCAATCTTTTGACATGGTTGAAGGCAATATTAATACGGTCAATGAAGAAGAAAAGGTTAAATCTCTCTTTGAAGAATTTATTGATAAAAATGCTTATGAGTGATCCTTGATAATACTACCTGGAGTAGTATTATGTATATTATTCTTTTTTCATATCTTGCACTGAAACCTTCATTCAACTCATTTTTTTATTTTGTTAATTTGTTCTTTGTAAAATGTACTTATATCAAATATTGTATAGCTTTATTAATTGTTTGTAAATTACAATTGCATTATTAGAATTGTAAAAATGTAAGATAAAGAGAGGAGAATAATTATGTTTAAAGTTTCCAAAAGTCGCGAATAAAATTCAAACCTAAT